CTTGGATATGCTGACGAATCCAAAGCATATCGTATATGATCGATGAAGAAAAGAAAAGATGTGAACGACTGCGAACAAGTGCAGAATAAATCGAAGGCTTGGAGGTGCCTTCCGCTCCTCCAAGTATTAGCGTTGACGAAACTCCTACTCCTTGCGTTGTTGAAGAACACGAAGACCCTGTCGATGACGAGATTGCATACGATGGAGACGAAATTAGACCAACAGGTTGACCAAAAATAGAACAGGAACCAGGGCCAGACCAAGAATTGCCTAGAACCCATCTATTTGAGGTCCCCATGCGGCAGGTGATGGCAAGATCGCACGTACGTGACTGACGACGCGCAAGCGCAGCCGAACTTACGTCAATTCTAAAGAATAACACATTTATTTTCGTAGACCGTTCCAAGCAGGGTAAGGTCGTAGGTAGTCGTACTAGTCGTATTGTTTTATGAAATAAGTTCACGCCGGACGCTATAATAGAAGAAGAGCTCGTCTGGTACCTGAGGGATTTAGCTAGCAGCCCGGCGTTCATTTTTCGGAGACATTTGCTCCGGTAACCCGATTTAGTTCCGTTCGGCGAGTGGCTTCCTTGGCAGCCATACAGAATGAAGATTAGACAATTTGATATTACAACAGCAGAGCTAAACAGGGAACTCGAGGAGTAAATATGTATTAATGAAACCGTCAAAAAGTTTTTATGAAATTTTAAGGGACATATTATCGAGTCCGAGACCGCCGAAAAGCCGATTAAAGTGAAGGCTGAAACGTGATGGGGTTTGTCTGCTTAAAAAGGCATTGTGTGGGTTTCGGCAGAAGCTGGTACTTCAAACTCTGCGGGAAACTGAACAAGATTGGAGCAACTGTTGCGGCGTCTGATTCATGTATTTTTCGCATGGGTTTAGGGTAAGACGCAACATTAATAGCTGTTTATGTAGATGGTCCCGTAACAAAAAGAAAAGAACCGAAATTGGCAGAAAGTTGTCCAGTTATTTTGAAATTAGAGAGTTCGGCAACTTGAAACATTTTCTGGAAGTAGAACAATTCAATCAAATCAACGGTAAAGTAACAGTGCACCAACGGGGGTACATCAACGACCTACTTGCGAGTTTGCAGGAACTCTTATTTATCTGGCTTTGAATGCACTGCCTGATATTTCATTTAAGGTGAGTCGACTTGGACAATTTTGTAATTGTTATAACATGGAGCACTGTAGAATAGCGTACTGCGCTATTGAAAAGGAACCATAGACCTGGTTTTACTATATCTTATCTTTTTTAAATCTTTAAATCATGGTTCTCCTTCTAAATCCACGTTTCTATCATTTTCAGTCCCTCTACAGTTTCTAATAACTTAAACACAGTGATGAACTGACACTTGCGTACTCATGTGACAAAGGGATCATGCCACTATAATATTAATTTCCTAAAACCCACTAATTTTAATATCTCAAATATTTATTACAGAGTACCCCTCCTATTATTAATACATTAGTATCATCCACGTATGCCGTAAGTGAACACTGAGGATGTTGTATATATTGAAACGTCATTAACATAAACCGTGAATAACATAGAACCCAAAATGTATCACTGCGAAAGCCTGAGTTATTTTTTGCTACGTTGGATGTTGCTAGCAGAAGTTTGACTAATTGGCTATGATGTGACAAACAGAAATTAAATCAATGCAATGGAATTTCTGCTATACATATCCTTTCTAGTTTGTATCATAACATTTTCTGATTTACGCAATCAAATGTTTTACAGAATTCGACATACTCACATACGGCCTTTTCATCTAGAGTTTTTCTCTTATCTAGACAACAGAACGTTGATTATCATATCTCAAAACATTAATTCCAATTCATTTATTCAGTCCACAGGGTTCAAACTTATTGTTTCTGTACTTTATCGGTGATCTTGCAGCAGTGCTTCCATGTACAACATTATTGTGTGCGGATGATCTGAAATTATAATATATGCTAAAATCAGTTCTGTGGAAAATTGCATCTTATTACAGCTGCGTAGTGATATTCTGTATTCTTGGTGATCACGTCATCACCTACTACTTAACATTCTGAAGTGCAAAGTCTTGTCACTTTCACGTAAACAGTTCACAGTTCTTATTCATATATGCGTCAACGGTCGTCCCATCAGTACAGTAGATAGCTGGAGATAATTTTTAATAGTAGGCTAACTTTAATAACAGTTACTTATTATCTCGAAAGCTTACAAAGTAAACGGATTTATATATTGCAGCTGCAGAAATTTTTCTAAGCAACGTAAGCTGAACCTATTGTTTGTTCTCTTGTTCGATCCAAATTGGAATATGGTGCTGTGATTTATGAAGTACATGGTAAAAACCTGGAAATTATTCAAAATCTCTCAAACTCCTGATTCTTATCCAAAATTCAAGGTGCATTGTTGTCCAGATTTAACTTGACGTGTCCGAGGGAAACTTTTAATGATACCATTTCTTTATAACTTACTGCACAGCAATATAAACTGCCCTGAATTGTTATCAGAATTAAATTTTCGCATTCCAAGATGTTGCAATATCTGTCAGGCATTTGCTATTTTATGTTCCTCAATCTCGAATTAACGTTTTAGCCAAGTCTCCTATATCTATCTGTAAAGTGCACATTTTTTAATAAAATAGCAAATGTAGGTATACAGGCTGACTGCGAAATACATCCAAAAAAAAAAAAAAGGGGAATAGCTCACAATATGATTATGTCACTGGCAAAAATTCACGGTCCTAAGTGGTAGCAGTGTCTAGAAAAAATTATTTGAAATTAAATGTAAATTGTTATACGCGCCGCTGGTAATGTTTCGTGACCTACATAATTACTGCAATGAATGGGCAGGGGACTCGGAGGAAGAACCAAAAAAGTAACTTTATCAGGCACTTTTTTAATCGCAACGTGAAAAACACGAAAAGGGCCAGTCATTATCGAGCGGTCGTTGAAATCGGTGTGGTCCAGTTTTCCAATGCAGAGTGTGTCGATATGGTAATTTGTGTGCGCGAACATTTGCATCAGTGGTACAGCATCTCCGAGATCATGGTACCTTTAACCTCAAACTCACGATCGTGGTCGTGATGGGACAGAAAGAAGAAATTGGATTTTCGCAGCTTGTAGTGCATCCTACATTAAAAGTACACGGTCACAACCATACCATGTTGACAAAGTGCACGGTTTGGAGCCCGCTGATTGTCCACGTTATGTAGCTCACTTTTTGTCCAATGGAACTCCACATAGTCGTCAACAAGTACGATTTCAAGAGACGGTTTTCGAGAAACGGGTATTGGTTGGATGAAACAATTCGTCTGTGGAAATCAACAGTGTCCAGAAATTATCGAAGAGCTTCAACAAGGGAAAGTGGCAGCCGCTACTCCGGTGTTTTTTTAGCTATCAACAAACCTCTTGCGACGCTCTGACGCTTGTATTGCTAGTCAAGGACAACATTTTCAACATTTCTTGTAAAAAGGTAGTAGCATTCTTAGTTGCTCGTATTTTTGTTCCAATAAACAATGTAAAATCGTTGTGGCAAGGACCAAACATCCGTCAGAATCAAAATTACCAAAAAACTTTCACACTGACGACGTTTAACGATGAATGATAAATGAATGAACGAATGATAAGCAGCAAAAAGTCGGTTTTACTTTTAATTGAAACTGAAAGTGTTTGGGTCGTTTTTATTCGAATGTTTTTCCAACTCTGTTTACAAGGTGGCTCAGTGCCTTCGTATCGAAGGTGGTTCATGGGGGTTTTATCCCATTCGATTTTTAATTTGTTTTTTCTATATTTCGGCTCTACTAGGGTGGGGGATGCCGTTGTTAAAATATTTGCATATTTGGTACTTTGATTCTGACGGATGTTTGGTCCTTATCACAACGATTTTACATTGTTTATTGGAACAGAAATAACAGCAACTTAGAATGCTACTACCTTTTTACAAGAAATGTTGAAAATGTTGTCCTTGACTAGCAATACAGGCGTCAGAGCGTCGGAAGAGGTTTGTTGATAGGTAAAAAAACACCGGAGTAGCGGCTGCCACTTTCACTTGTTGAAACTATTCGATAATTTCTGGACAATGTTGATTTCCACAAACGAACTCTTTCATCCCACCGATACACATTTATCGCAAACCGTCTCTTGAAATCGTACTTGTTGACGACTATGTGGAGTTCCATCGGACAAAAAGTGAGTTACACAACGTGGACAGCCAGCGGGCTCCAAACCGTGCACTTTGTCAACATGGTATGTATGTGACCGTGTTCTTTTAATGTAGGATGCACTACAAGCTGCGAAAACCAATTTCTTCTTTCTGTCCCATCACGACCGCCATCGTGAGTTTGAGGTTGAAGGTACCATGATCTCGGAGATGCTGTACCACTGATGCAAATGTTCGCGCACACCAATTACCATATCGACACACTTTGCATTGGAAAACTGGACCATACACCGATTTCAACGACCGCTCGATAATGACAGGCCCTTTTCGTGTTTTTCACGTTGCGATTAAAAAAGTGCCTGATAAAGTTACTTTTTTAGTTCTTAATCCGAGTCGCCTGCCCATTCATTGCAGTAATTATGTAGGTCACGAAACATTACCAGCGGCGCGTATAACAATTTACATTTAATTTCAAATATTTTTTTCTAGACAGTGCTACCACTGAGGACCGTGAATTTTTGCCAGTGACATAATCATATTGTGAGCTATTTCCCATTTTTTTTTGCATGTATTTCGCAGTCACCTTGTATATGTAAGGACTAAATAAAGATACCTAAAGAAAAACTCTGTGATTTTGTCAACAGAATCTTTTCATGCAGCACAGTAAATACAGCAATTCATTTCAAAACTGTCTCGAGCATATGCTCCATTCCACTATGCCGTACAATCATAATTTGATAATTTTAGCTTACTGTTATGTAATTTGAAGTACCTATATGTGCCCTATGCTGGGAAGATTTACTTACAAAGAATTTCTCTTTGTTTCAGCTATATTAAAATCCCTTTGTAAAGAATTCCTTTCGGTTAACGTGTCGGCCATTTTATATCTAATGAATTACGAGAAATACGGACGAAGCACGGCATCCGCGCAATATTTCCTTCAATTGGCTGGCTATCTTGGAATACCCGTCATCGCCTGGAATGCAGATAATTCAGGATTGGAAAGAAGGGCTTCACAATCGTCTCTGCAACTTCAATTGGCTCCATCATTAGAACATCAAACTGCCGCTATGTTGAGCATTTTAGAAAGATACAAATGGCACCAGTTTTCTGTTGTTACGAGCCCAATTGCTGGTCACGATGATTTCATTCAAGCTGTTCGTGAAAGAGTGTCAGCCATGCAGGTAAGGTTAACACATGTTAAATAAGTACTTAATCGTTAACCGCTTGATTATGAAATTATTTTTAATGAATGTAATCAACTAAATACTTGCGTGTTTGTATTTATTTGATATACGATACACGCACAACGTGGAAGTAAAATCCTTTTCAATGCAGGGTGTGGTAGAGGTGCTGGAGCGCTGAATTTGATGCATTTTGACTAAAATGAAAACGAGGGTTTACCGCTTGCCGAATTCTGTTTCGTAATAATAAACCAGAGTTTCACATAACATGTAAGCAGCCAAACAATTAAAAGTAGTGTTGTACAATATTAATTTGTTTAGCGTATACCATATTTATCTTTGGGGCTGAAATTGTTCACCAATTTAAACTTAACTTGGGAAAATAGATAGTTTTGTGTTAAAATGATTCTAAATTTGAATGACGCGTAATCCGATAGACAGCAGACATTTCTGTGAGCTTTTTAACCAACTAAGTAAAAAAAGAATATCTCATTAAAACTCTGTTTTAACAAATATTCGTCCGTTGTTGATAAATATTTTGCTCCCCTTAATAATCGAACAATGTAATGGATACTCCGGCTTTTAACAAATGTAGAACCTAAAGACTTTAGGAGTATAGATGAATATACATTCTTCTTAAATTACAAAATAATGATCAAGAATCATTTAACAACGCGTGTTCAACTCAGTAATTCACGCTTAAACCCTAAATAGTAATTTTACATTGTTTTCTGAGGAACACAGATTTATACACTTGTGATTACAATAAGAGTATAAAGTTAAAAGTATAATTAATATAAGAATATATAAGAATTCTGTACAAAATGTCCTTTACAAGTTATGTAAGTTGTCATTCATCAGCGAACATACTCTCATCGTACTGAAAAAGAAATACCAAAGACTTGTTTCGTACTAAAAACAAATTAAGACGAAATTTAAAATATTTGCAATTATCCATAGACTTAATGCTAACGATACATCCAAATTTCAATTTTAATTTTCGTTATTGCAAATGTAGGTTTTTTACCAAACAGTTTAGTAGGAAATTTAAAAATTTTGAAGTTGAATAAATTAATATTGTCACAATTTGAATATTCAATTCAGCATAGAGCGCATCATATCTAAGATCAAAATATATACAAAGACTCAAATACAAACACATATTTTACACATGAATTACACATTCATGGTTGAACAACCATTTTAAAATCTACAACTCTACTCCCAAAAATTTATGAGGATGATGATTTATGTACAACTATGAATAATTGTTTAACTTCATACTCAAAATAGTGGGAATTAAATGAATTCGGGTAAATTATTCATATACTACGTACATAAACAAATATCAACCAAAAAATCATTTTATACATAATAATCAATAATCCTGTTACCCTACACTGTATTGTAAGTATAGGGCAACCACTAAGAATTAGTAAATCGTAGAATTATATAAAATGTTGAATAACTGTGTTTTATGACATATAGATAAAGGAATCTAGGGTTTTTCTCAACAGGGTTAATAATAGAAATGTTTTCCGAATTTTGACCATGTCAGTTTTGAAAAGAATTTCGACGGTCGTTTATTTTCGTAGAGGATATTAAGAAATAAAGAACCAGAAGAACGAAAAGTTCGAGAGAGAAGAAAACAGTACTGGAAGTAAATATCTTCTACTTCATAAAATTGACGCAATCCAAACCCGGAAAACGACTTTCTGTATAGACAGTAAAAATAAATAATAATTAATAATGTACCTAATAATAACCTCTAACGAATCCATCCAAATCATCTAAATTAAAAAATGGGGCATTTATATAATTTATACGCAAAAATGTTTATATTTTTCTCATTTCTTTTTTTTGTGCTATGCCTACTGTAGCTTCCACTGAAGGTGCGATTATGTTCCATAAACAAGGATATTCTGCACAGCAGTAAAAAATACATTACACTTATTTTTATTGCATGTGTTAGCCCTACTAGCGAATTTTCTCACGATATCGACCAAAACGTGAAGTGAACATTGAGAAATAAAACTGGAATGATAGGTCCCTTGGAATTTTGTTTCTTTTATTGCTGACGATATAGTTTATTTTATCGAATCTGTAGCAATTCTAGTTAAGGATTTATGTAATTTAGTGTGACAATATTTTGATGTAATTACATATATTAACCAGTATTTTAAAAGTTAATATGAAAAATTTGTACACACTCGACAAAATGTGCTAACAAACACGTTTCGATAAAAATAAAAACACAATCAAAATTTGAGCACTCAAAGTAAGGTTGAATTTGAAACCGATGTTTGAGGTTGCAATTGCTAATTTTCGAAGATACTGCTATATTTAATTTGAAACAGTGTTGACTATGAAAGTATTACACTTTGACGAATGGTTAATGTGCTCTTTCCTCGATATTTCATAGCTCCTAAAATACGAAAAAGTAGATCTTCTGTTATTCTCTATGTGTCATCTACCGTTAGACAGATTACTTCTAAAACTAATGGACCATTACTGTGAAATTTTAGATTTATAGATAATATAAATATATAGATATTAAATGTCGTGTACGTGGTAAGGCAAAGGCATTAAAAAAAATTTGTCTGCTCATCCCCACCATAAATGCGAAAACGTCATCGCTAAATTTTGCTAATTATTTCCTATTTAAAACGTACAAACTAGTATTTTTGGAAAAACACCGATTGCTCTAAAATTTTGTACACGCCTTAAGTTTATTTTAACATTTTTAAGATCATCTGGAAAGGAAAAAGAAGATAAAAAAAATTAAACTACAGATGTAAAATTCTGCATTGTGTCTTGAACCGGCTAAATGATCCAAGTCCATGTGGCAATTTGCTTCTCGTAGTATTCGTCCAATTGGAGATGAGAATCCATAATTGGTCCTATGGAGCTGCGTGTAAAAACGGTGGATTGCTTATGAGAAATCGACTGGGAGTGTTAAGAGCAAATAAATTTAATAATTCGCTGCAATCAGTAGTGCCATTGAATAACGTATATACAAATATTACATCAGTTTTTAAGTACGTAAAAAGAAATTCTGGACTCTTCAATATTTTTGATGTGCGTTATGTATAAGGGTGACCAAATAATGCAAGCATATTCTAGTATAGATCTAACTAATGTGCAATAAACAATCCTGTAAGTGTCAAAACCAAAATCTGACAGAGACTTATTAATTAAACCTAGCGTTTTAGATGCCTTACTACTAAGTAGTTTGTTACATATGTTGAATAAAACTATAAGTTTCCAATCAAATATAACCTCTAAATGTTTTATTTCGGATATCACTTTTAAATCTGTATTGTCAATGGTATAACTGAAGTTCCTTCTTCGAAAAAGTGATATTCTGTAATATTTGTCAAGATTTAGTTTCATTCACTCCACTGCATAAGTTGACAGCAGTAGCGGATTGAAAGGCAGATATCGTTAATAATGTGAATCTTGCGGTACACCAGAATTAATAGTGATAGATTTTGAGATTGCTTTGCCAATCTTTACATTCTGATATCTATCTGTAATAAAACTTTCTATCCACTCAACGAATACATCATCAATTTCCATAGCCTTTAATTTATCAATTAAGCTTCTCTGATTAGCTCTGTCAAAGGCTTTAGAAAAAATGTTCATAAAAAAACATACTTTTCCGCGATAATCAATTGTCTAGGTGCTGGCTTAAGTTGTTTCGACAATAAACAATCTAAAAGTTTATGTAATACATACACCCATATAATTTTTAACTATTTCTCTGTCACCCGACTTGAAAATAGGAACAATATAACTACATATTTTTCCAAAATCTAGGAAATATGCCAGATTCAATAAATAGATTTAAACAAATAGTAAATAGGTTTTGGTAGATTATTATAAACACATTGAATCCCAAATTGTGACGAAATACCATCAGACTCCGAACTTCCATTAAGTTTTAAACTTAAAATATTTTTAAAAACCTCCTCAACAGATAGGCCTCGACAACAAAAATTTGCTTTACCAACAACATAGATATTATTATCAGAGTTACACAGCCGAAGTGATGGGGAATCGATCACACAAATATTAAATACGAGGCGTGACGTCAGGCGATAAATTTGGCTGGCTGACTGTGCAGTCTCAACCTCAGTGGCGTTTGATGCAATTCAGGGTTTATCTCATCAAGATCATCACGAAAATTGTGATGTTGAACAGAACTCGTATAACTGAGGAAAACCTAGAAAAAGTAGTCATTATTATTAAGAATTCCAGAAGTTATAGGCCACGACTGCAATAGCGCTGGCGATCAGACGGCAATGAGCATCACTTCCGCGATGCCGAAGTCTGATTATTATAGTCAATTTGATCTTTATAGACGTGTTATAAACGGACTGAAAGTAATTGGAAATCATATTAGCTATTATCACTGGGATCTGAAGAACTTGTACATATACACAATTTGAGGTGACTTCGTTACATTGCTGGTGAGGATGATTATACGAAGTTTGTTAGTGTTTTCCCATCTACACAATATTGATAACACACATATAAAATTTGTCGACAATCGGTGGTTTCGGAAATTATCTATTTAATAAAAATAGGCAGACAGGCAGAAATGGAGATCTATTTTTTCGTACCCTGGGGACAATGAGACGTCGAAGAAACATGTAAGTAACCATTCGTCGGATGGACCCTATTACAATATTTCCTTAGCTTACGCTCTGGAAGTAAAAATAAACATTATTTAGATATACCATATTAAAATAAAACAGGGAAGTCAAGCCAAATAGAAAATTATTTCCCTTATAGGAGCACTTAAACAATGTTCACCAGTTAACCAAAAAACCTTCGTCATATATAGCGCCAGCAGAAACAGCATATTAACTTAATAGTGTCACACAATGGGGAAACGTAACAAAAGTTTGGTTGAACACCTTGCAGAGATTACAAAATAAAACAGTTAAAACATTTCAACTACCGAGTCTATACTTACCCATAACATAAAGAAACTG